TGGGTATTGGCAGTTAGGCATTGGTATTGCTCTGTAGATGGAAGAGGGGAGGAAGAGCCATCACCTGCCCCACATATTGAAGGGTAGTCCGATAAAGGATTCTGGGGGGCGTGGCCCTGTCCGAAGCCTGGGGAGGTGAGGGCCTAAGGCACGCCCCCTATTGGTGACCCCAGGGGGTTCCTAGTTGATGTGCATCAGCAGGACTCCCCCTACTGGTGGTTAACCCTTCCCGGACTTCAAGCGGAGGGGCTGGAGTCAGATATAGTCGGTTAGGACCAACGCCTAAGCCAATACCGCTCATCACCTGTAACCAATAAAGTTGTGGCCTTATTTAGCCCATTAACCTTAATAATTGTGTCATGTGTCTTTATTTCCACTGGGGGGGGGGGGAGCAGGAACTTGCCACGCAAGAAAGGAGATTCCAACTAAACATTGGGAAGAACTTTCTGTTGGGAAGAGCTGTTTAACAGGGGAACGGTCGTGGACTTTCCTTCCTTGAAGGTTTATAAGCAGAGTTCGGATGGCCATCTGTCCTGGATGCTTTAGCTGAGATTCCTGCCTTGCAGGGGGTCCTCTTCTATCTCAACAATTCTATGGTTCTACAGTCACCTCTGGGACTCCAGCACTTGCACCTTCTCAAGTGCTATTTGCTGTTCTGCGAAAGAAAGCTTGTTTGGTTTGTGCGAGTGCTTTCATCTGGGGGTCTTCAGAGGACTTTTCCCTTGTGTGTGCTTGATACTGCAGGGCACACCCAGCGCTCAAATAATCTGAGGAAATGCGAGATCAGAACTGCGAATATTCAGCAGCCTCTCAACCTGTAGAGCAGAGCAAATTGCAAGCTTCAGAGAATGGAGGGATCCCACAGGAGACGAGGACGGTATTTAGAGCGAGGTGACCTTTCGGGAGAAATTAGTGGCGGACGAGGTGGCCGAGATGAGCAGCTCAGAGAAACGGTGGTTGTAAAAGGAGGCTGTTTCTTCTCTCTTGGGGGAGAGTAAGAGCTGCAAAATTAGGACACGGGGCTTTGAAAAAAGAAGAAGTGTGTGTGTGGAGGGGGAGACTGACATAGGACTAAATGCACAGGCTTCCTGGGTAGGGAGGCGTAAAAGGGAAACTGACAGCTCAACATAAACGGAGCTTTTTAAAAGGGGGCAATATCAGACGCACAAACTGGAACCTCTCTTTTTGATGCAAAGGAGAGCTCGGAAGAGCTGGATGGATCCCTGGTGGCTGAGGAAGGAGCTTTCTAATGACCTGCAGATCTAAAGGGAAGCATGCAGGAATTTTTTTATTTTTTTTTGAGCAAACTGGCACTGAGGAAGAGGCAAATGAGCGAAGGAACACTCTGTGCCAGCTTTGAAAGGAGTTTTCAGGAGGGAAAGAGATGTCAGAGGAGCAGCGTGAGCAGGGAAAGCGGCCAGGCAGAATCGCTGTGGTTCCTTGAACTGTGAGCGAGGCTAGTCCTCATGAACTCTGCCCCCTTGCAAATGTTGGATTCTCCTGGGACCAGGCACAAACCCCCAGTCTCCTCACGTGTTAAAAAGGTAAAGGGGCCCCTGACCATTAGGTCCAGTCGCAGACGACTCTGGGGTTGCGGCGCTCATCTCACTTTACTGGCCGAGGGAGCTGGCGTACAGCTTCCGGGTCATGTGGCCAGCATGACCAAGCCGGCTTCTGGCGAACCAGAGCAGCGCACGGAAATGCCGTTTACCTTCCCACCAGAGCGGTACCTATTTATCTACTTGCACTTTGAGGTGCTTTCCGAAATGCTAGGTTGGCAGGAGCAGGGACCGAGCAATGGGAGCTCACCCCGTCGCGGGGATTCGAACCACCGACCTTCTGAATGGCAAGCCCTAGGCTCTCTGGTTTAAACCCACAGCGCCACCCACGTCCCCCTCAAGTGTTAGAATCATGTAATTGTGCAGCTGGAAGGGACTGCAAGGGTCCTCCAGTCCAACCCCCTCGCGAATCTCAACTAATCACAGTTATTATTATTTTTTAAATGACATGCAATTTTTTTAAGGTAAGAAAAGACTCTTTTTTCTAATGCTCCTTGATCCACCTGGACTTGTAATTGGAAAAGTACTAAATACAAATGCGTTGGGGAGGATTGTTGTTGTTGAGTCGTTTAGTCGTGTCCGACTCTTCGTGACCCCCTGGACCAGAGCACGCCAGGCACTCCTGTCTTCCACTGCCTCCCGCAGTTTGGTCAAACTCATGCTGGTAGCTTCCAGAACACTGTCCCACCATCTCGTCCTCTGTCGTCCCCTTCTCCTTGTGCCCTCAATCTTCCCCAACATCAGGGTCTTTTCCAGGGAGTCTACAAATTTTAATTTTTCCTCCCAAGCTGGTGGCCAGAGACTTTCTCCCCGCCTCCCATTCATATTTTATTTTATTTCGAGCTTAATAGTTACATTTTGTCCCTCAACAGTTCTATCCAATTCTACAATACTAATGACTTCCTGCTCACCCATCAGTAATGATTTCAGACAATTGCATTTTATAATTCCACCAAATCCATTTTCATCCTCTTTAACAGGTTCCTTAATAGGTTCTGCTCTTTCCTCCTTAAACTCCAAACCCCGCTGTGGACTTCACATATGGAAAGTAACTTTTAAAATAGACCAAAAAAGGTCTCCAGACCTCCTTAAAGGATTCTAAATCTGTGTCTCTTATCAGCGCCGTCAGTTCTGCCATCGCTGCATATTCTGAGGTTTTCAGCCGCCATTTTTCCTTTGAGGCTAACAGCCATGGCCTTTCTTGTTTTCCTTCCTGGTTCTAATCTCCAAAGCTCTTCCCCATATCCACAAGGATTGGAGTGTCATGGTGAGAACGCCAAGGTTGCAGGTATGATCCCTCGTATGGGGCAGCTTCGTATTCCTGCCTTGCACGGGGTTGGACTGGATGACCCTCAGGGTCCCTTCTAACTCTACAAAAGTTCTGTGAAAGTGCTTTTAGAAAGGAGAATGGGGAAGGCAAGAAAAGAAGGGACTCTCCAGACACTGTGCTCTCATTCAGGCAGAAAGCCTTGAGGTTTCTTGATGGCACCACCCCATTTGAAAGAAAACAGGCTGGCTCTGTGGAAAGGGGCTCTTCGAATGTGTTCGTCTTAGCAGGTTGACAGCCTCGCTGAGTGATTCCTCCACCCAGGCCCTGCCCTGCCCTCACACTTCTCTTAAAACAGACATGCCCAACTCCCAAGAGACTGAGATCTACTCCCAGTATTAAAAAAACGGGCAGTGATCCACTCATAGAAATTAAGAAATGGGGGGCAGCTTGCCAAGAGCTGTCGAGCTTTTCCTGGGGAGGGGGAGTGTCCAGAGTTGTTGAGCCTGGGGGGTGTCAAAAAACACTCAGCAGAAAGCCCTGCGCCGAAAATCACCAGCAGCATCCGATAAATGACCGCACACTTTCCGCTGCCACCAACCACCCTCTCGATAAAAGATGACCATTGTGTCTGCACTCCCTCATTCCCCCCCTCTGCCGCGATCGATCAGGATCATCCTGCGATCGATCAGGATCACCCCAGCAGTCTACCTGTCAATCACGGTCGACCGGTTGAACATGTCTGCCTTAAACAAATCACAAAGCGGATTGAATGATTCACTGCCAGTCACTTGTCCCACGAATAGCTGCCAGGTTTTGCCCACTTAGCCCCTGACTGTGTATTCCGCCCTCCATCCAGGGCGAAGACAGGGATGCCCAAGGAGCTGGAAGGTTTGCTTGTGAATGGCAAAGCCATTCCCTTGCCGATTCAGGATGCTTTGACCCAAGGGCTGGAGAAATGCCACTCAGTTGCATGCTCAGAGGCACTCTTGTCTCAACGATGCCACCTCGTTGTGGAGCTGAGCTCTGCCTCCACCTTGTGATTGGGCTGGGTGTTCATCAATAAGCAGATGAAACCCAGCTCTACCTCTCTTTCAAATCAGAACCAGTGAAGGTCCTGTGTGAGTGTCTGGAGGCAGTTAGAGGATGGATGGCGGCTAACAGATTGAGGCTGAATCCTGACAAGACAGAAGTACTGTTTTTGGGGGACAGGAGGCGGGTGGGTGTGGAGGACTCCCTGGTCCTGAATGGGGTAACTGTGCCCCTGAAGGACCAGGTGCGCAGCGTGGGAGTCATTCTGGACTCACAGCTGTACATGGAGGTGCAGGTCAATTCTGTGTCCAGGGCAGCTCCACCTGGTACGCAGGCTGAGACCCTACCTGCCCACAGACTGTCTTGCCAGAGTGGTGCATGCTCTAGTTATCTCCCGCTTGGACTACTGCAATGTGCTCTATGTGGGGCTACCTTTGAAGGTGACCCAGAAACTACAACTAATCCAGAATGCAGCAGCTAGACTGGTGACTGGGAGCAGCTGCCGAGACCACATAACACCAGTCTTGAAAGACCTACATTGGCTCCCAGGACGTTTCCGAGCACAAATCAAAGTGTTGGTGCTGACCTTTAAAGCCCTAAATGGCCTCGGTCCAGTATACCTGAAGGAGCGTCTCCACTCTCATCATTCAGCCCGGACACTGAGGTCCAGCGCTGAGGGACTTCTGGCAGTTCCCTCCCTACAAGAAGCCAAGTTACAGGGAACCAGGCAGAGGGCCTTCTTGGTAGTGGCACCCGCCCTGTGGAACGCCCTCCCACCAGACGTCAAGGCAATAAACAACTTTTTTACTTTTAAAAGACACCTGAAGGTGGCTCTGTTTAGGGAAGCTTTTAATGTTTAACAGACCACTGTATTTTAATACTTTGTTGGAAGCTGCCCAGAGTTGCTGGGGAAACCCAGCCAGATGGGTGGGGTATAAATAATAAATTATTATTATTATTATTATTATTATTATTATTATTATTATTATTATACTAGCCACAGCGACTCTGGAGGCAGAAATGCTTCTGAATTCCAGTTACTGGAAACCTCAGGAGGGGAGACCCACTCTGTTGCCAACCGCACAGGACCCTCTCCTCCGCCACCCCCAGCCAGACCAACGACAGCAGAGGTTGCCACTCACGTGTTGCCACTGGTCAATGATGAGCGGCCGGTACCTCAGGAAGAACTTGAGGGGGAAGGAATCTGGATCAGGCCACGAGGAAGGGTACTGCCACGTCACCAGCAGCCTCCGGGCATTGTTGGGGATGGGCTTAGCCACGACGTTCTCTGGAGGGTCCGGCTTTACTGTTCAAGGAAACAAGACACGGGAGGAGGAAGAGAAAACCTTGGTGAGAGAAGAAACATTTCCATGCAAATGCCGCCTCTCAGAATTATAGGGACCCCCGACGGTCATCTAGGTCAAGCCCCCCCCCCTGCAATGTGGAAATCCGAGCTAAAGAATCCATCCAACTTCAGTTTAAAAGCCTCCAATGAACTACAGAACCATACAGCTGGAAGGGGACCCCTAGGGGTCATCCAGTCCAACCTGCTGCAACCTTCATCTGTGTGCCGCACAGCAGGGACTGGCAAGCAAGCAGGCAGCAGCTAGGAAAGCTGGCTTTCTAAAAATAATAATAAAAATTAAAGCCATAATAATAATAATAATAATATTTATACCCTACCCATCTGACTGGGTTTCTCCAGCCACTCTGGGCTGCTTCCAACCAAGTATTAGAAACAATACAGCGTCAGACATTAAAAACTTCCCTAAACAGGGCCACCTTCAGGTGTCTTTTAAAAGTAAAATAGTTGTTTATTGCCTTGACATCTGATGGGAGGGCGTTCCACAGGGCAGGTGCCACTACCGAGAAGGCCCTCTGCCTGGTTCCCTGTAACTTGGCTTCTCACAGGGAGGGAACTGCCAGAAGGCCCTCGGGAGATGGACCCAGGTGTCCGGGGTGGAGACGCTCCTCCAGGTATACTAGGCCAAGGCCGTTTAGGGCTTTAAAGGTCAGTACTAAATGCATTGCCATCTTGTTTTGCTGGCTCTGCTGCCGCTACTGTGGGAAAGTGTCACCAAGGATTCATGCAGAACCAGTGCACACATGAGCTATCTCTCTTCCGAAAGCAGAATGCCCCAATCAAGAGAACCGCCAAGTGCTTTGAAGCCCTGATTCAATGGGCAAAGCCCCTGCAGAATCAATGGGGTTGCCAAGGCCCCCCAGTGGAGGACGGTGCCGGGAAGAGGACACCCCCCTCACTGACCTCCTGGCTGGCTGAGCTGATAACCTTTCCGCAGCTTTGGTGAGAGTTGGCCTTGAGTTCGAATACAGATTGGGAGTCTCCCACAGGCCTAGCACATAACAGCAGCAGCAACAACAACAACCCCCCAAGTGGTTCTGGGTAGGAAGTGAAGGCAAGAGTCTTCTCTTAATAATAATAATAATAAATTTTATTTATACCCCGCCCTCCCTGGCCAGAGCCGGGCTCAGGACGGCTAACACCAATAAAATAAAATCACAGTAAACATAATAGGGGGGAAAGAGAGGGAGAAAAAACCACCCCAATTTAAAATACAGGTTAAAATGCAATTTAAAATGCAACCTCATTTTAAAATAGCTGATAAATCAAGACCATAAGGGGAGGGCAACATAAGGGTCAGACTGAGTCCAAACCGAAGGCCAGGCGGAACAGCTCCGTCTTGCAGTCCCTGCAGAAAGATGTCAAATCTTGCAGAGCCCTGGTCTCTTGGGACAGAGCGTTCCACCAAGTCGGGACCAGTACTGAAAAGGCCCTGGCCCTGGTTGAGACCAAACTAACCACCTTGCAACCTGGAACCTCCAAAATGTTGTCATTTAGGTCCTCCGTGGGACAGACCAAGAGAGGTGGTCCCATAGGTACGAGGTTCCTTGGCCGCATAGGGCTTTAAAGGTCAAAACCAGCACCTTAAACCTGACCCTGTACTGCACCAGGAGCCAGCGCAGTTGGTAAAGCACTGGATGAATGCGATCCCACAACGAGGGCCCCATAAGGAGTCTTGCCGCGGCATTCTGCACCCACTGGAGTTTCTGGGTCAGCTTCAAGGGCAGCCCCGCGTAGAGCGAGTTACAATAATCAAGCCTGGAGGTGACCGTCGCATGGATCACTGTGGCCAGATCAGGGCGAGAAAGGTAAGGGACCAACTGCTTAATACGGCGGAGATGGAAAAATCCCACCTTTGTAGGGGAAGGTGGCCTGGTCAGTCCTTGTGTCTGAAAGAGGACCGGTCACGCAACCACCAGATGCTTCTCAGCTTTGGAAAGAGAGGGATCATAGGGTCAGGGTGTAGAGGAAGGCTCTTTCTGCAAGAGGATCCACTTTAGGGACCTCTGGGCAGACTTGAACCCAGGCCCCGCTCATATGCAACAGAGAAGAACCCACCTCCAATTTCCCTTTTGCAACTATCACCTGGGCATGAGAGGTGTGGAGAAAGGGAGTTGACTGAGGCCCACAGAAAAAGAGGGACCATGCGGTCTCTTATATCCCTGCCTGATCACTGAGGTCTTTGGGAGAGTCATTGTTTGTGGTCTCCCAGGATTCGGATTTATGGCTCAGGTCCACCAGGACCCACCTGACTGCATTGTGTATCGGGCACCCAATTCTGTGGCACCCCTTCCCCTTGTGACAGTCCCCCTTCCTCTTGAGCCTCTGGTGCCGACTGAATCCTTTTTGCTGTTGTCAGGACCGTCTTTACGGGGGTGTGTGTGTGTGCAAGGGGTGCTGTGCACCTGGGCGCCGAATTCTGGGGGGCACCAATTGTATACCTACTGCATACCAGTCCCTCTTGATTGGCGGCAGTGAAAAGCAATGGAGCGAAAGTCCTCGCCCCCGTCGCTCTGTAGTGTCAAATATTCCCAACCAGTCAGGAAACAAAAGCTGTTATTTCTGCTTTTGTTGTTAGAGATTTTCCTCCTCCAAAAAGCTCAACAACTTTGAGTTCACCCCCCTTAATAAAATCTGGGGGCAGCTAAACTAAATTTGGGGGCACTGGTCGGATCTTTGCACCCCGGTGCCACATATGCTAAAGACGGCCCTGGTTGTTGTTGTTCCAGCTGGCTTTTTAAATGAAGTCTGGTTTTGCAGTTTTAACAGATTTCCCTCTTCAACGTGGCCATCTGTCAGGGCTGCTTTAGGGGAGATCCCTGCATTGCAGGGGGTTGGACTAGATGGCCCTTGGGTCCCTTCCAACTCAAAGTTTCTATGATTCTACATTTTGCATCTCTTGCACACCGCCTGGGGGCAACTGGCCTGATCCAACAGGATCTTCTTATGCCCTTATGGAAACTGCAGGAGGAGAGGGTGCTTTTGCACTCAGGGGCTTCCCGGGGGGGGGGGCAAATGGCTGGCCCCTGTGAGAACAGGATGCTGGACTCGTGATTATGGTGCCACAAAAGCAGGCCCAGTGGCTGATGGGAGCTGTAGTAGGAAACATCTGTTACATCAGAGGAGAGACGGCACTGGGAAAACCCAGGGCAGAAAAATTGGGAGGCCGTGGGGAGAAAGGAGGAAGGCAACTGAACAGATTTGTCCGTGGTCCTCTAGGCTCAGCTCTGGCCTCCGAGGAGAAGATGGAGGCAGAATGACAGAGCTCTTCCGTTTCTGCATCCTGGCCTGCGGCTCCAAGAGGCAGAACACGGCCTGCTCGCTTTTTATGGCTGCTTAATTGTTGCAACGCTTATCTTATTTATGATTGTAATTGTACGTTACCGCTCTTGAATTTTGCAAATAATTTGTAATTGTATGTTATTGCTCTCGAACTTTGCAAATAATTATACAGCTTGCTTCATTTGCAAAACTTATCCCGGTTGCAATTCAGTGGACCGCTTTGCTCTCTCATGCAAGCTGAGGCTTGAAGATTTAGGGCAGCTGTTACCAACGCAATCTGGCTTCAAGCTGGAGCTGTGGCTGGGAACCGGGGTTCTGTGTGAAGGAGAAGGACTGTAGCCCCTCTCCCTTCCTCTGGCAGAAGGGAAATCTCTACAGTTCACTGGCAGGAAGCCATGGAAGTTAAACTAGGGCAGTGTTTCCCAACCGGTGTTCCGCGGCACACCAGTGTGCCGTGAGACCTTGCCTGGTGTGCCGTGGGAGGGAGGCGGGAGAGGCGGGGCGGCGCGGCGCCCGAGATCGCTTCTCCCCACCGCCCCTTGCTTCAAAAGAGGTCCGGGGACAGCGGGAAGTGCTTCGCGCTGCCCCCGGACCTCTTTTGAAGCAAGGGGCTGCGGGGAGATCGCTTCTCCCGGTGCTCCGAGGCGGGGCGGGGGGCGGGAACCTGCAGCGCGGAGCGCGGGGCGCCCTTTGGAGGACGCCCCGTGCTTCGCGCAGCTGTCCGCAAGCCTTGGGCGCCTGGGGGAACTCCCTCCCCGGCGCGCAAGGCTTGCGGGCGGCAGCCTGCAGCGCGGAGCGCGGGGCGCCCTTTGGAAGACGCCCCGTGCTTCGCGCAGCTGTCCGCAAGCCTTGGGCGCCTGGGGGAACTCCCCCCCGGCGCGCAAGGCTTGCGGGCGGCAGCCTGCAGCGCGGAGCGCGGGGCGCCCTTTGGAGGACGCCCCGTGCTTCGCGCAGCTGTCCGCAAGCCTTGGGCGCCTGGGGGAACTCCCCCCCCCGGCGCGCAAGGCTTGCGGGCGGCAGCCTGCAGCGCGGAGCGCGGGGCGCCCTTTGGAGGACGCCCCGTGCTTCGCGCAGCTGTCCGCAAGCCTTGGGCGCCTGGGGGAACTCCCCCCCGGCGCGCAAGGCTTGCGGGCGGCAGCCTGCAGCGCGGAGCGCGGGGCGCCCTTTGGAGGACGCCCCGTGCTTCGCGCAGCTGTCCGCAAGCCTTGGGCGCCTGGGGGAACTCCCCCCCGGCGCGCAAGGCTTGCGGCGGCAGCCTGCAGCGCGGAGCGCAGGGCGTCCTTCGGAGGACGCCCCGTTCTTCGCGCAGCTGTCCGCAAGCCTTGCGCGCCCAGGGGAACTCCCCCCGCGTGCACGGCTTGCGGGCGGCAGCCAGCAGCGCGGAGCACGGGGCGCCCTCCGTAGGAGGCTGCGGAGGGTGGCGCGGAGCTGCCCGCGCTCCAGGGCTTCTTGCAGCTCCACGCCACCCCCGGATCCCGGTGCGAAGCCGCGCGGGGCTGCGGAGGGTGGCACGGAGCTGCCTGCGCTCCAGGGCTTCTGGCAGCTCCGCGCCACCCCCCCCATCCCGGCGCGAAGCCGCGCGGGGCTGCAGAGGGTGGTGCGAAGCTGCCTGCGCTCCAGGGCTTCTTGCAGCTCCGCGCCACCCCCCGGATCCCAGCGCG